GGCTAAAGCAAACAAGACTCAGACTTATTTTATTGTCGTTGCACAAAGACATGACAGTAAAATTGGCAAATAAGGCCTATATTTTGTGTTATTCCTGAAATATTAACATGCACATATTTGTTCTTTGTCAAGATGAGTAGTGGAGGAGGGAAACAGGCGGCCATTTTTAGTTGGTTCCTGTCAGACATGAGGTCAGTGCTGTAGGATCTGATTGTGGAGCTGAACTGATGTCTCCATATTTCTGCAGTGTATGATAATGAAGTCGTGGTTCAGCAACTGGTGAAGCTGCTGAGTTCAGAAGGAGATGCCATGAACACTAAGGTAGGTCCCATTACATTATAAGTGACATAAAGGTAGAAAATACATTTGTTTATCAAATGTTAAAAGTTCTTTGGTTAAGCTGGAAAACAAGTGAATTTGGAATATTTTAGAAATTCCATAGAAATCTTTATTAAACTTAACAGGAAATAATGATGTAGAACATTTGTATGTTCAGCCTTCTAAACATGGCTTTTATAATGTAGAAAGCATGAACAGACAGTTTAATGTACAATTCAATAAAGATGAAGCTAACAACACAGACTGCTGTCAACCTGTGACCTTCCCCGGCAGATCCAGCAGGATCCAGAGCTGCGCTCCAAACTGTCTCGTCTTTCATACAGATCGTTTGAGCATGTTCTAGACATCTTCGGCAGGAATCAGGTATCTGAAGACCCCCCACTGAAACCGTCGACCAGTCCAACACTACAGCGAATAGCCATCTCCATGGAGGTGTCCCGGCGCATGGTGACGGCCACAGGAACGCAGCGGATAGAGGGCTACGCAGAGCGCTACATGGACAACTTTATCCCCTGGGTCAAAAGTCATGGAGGATGGGTGAGTGGTCCTATTCAGGTGCATCTCAGTAAAATGGAGTATCACTGCAACTGGATATATTGCATTGGATTGGAATAAATATTGGCTATATATTAGGTCTATGAACAGTAATACATTAACACTTGCAGTTAATCTAAAATGTTAAACAAGCTAATATTAAATAATGTCGATTAATCGCACCTTGACCTAAAAGCCTCTCTGCTGTGGAGAGTTATCTAGCTCACAGCAGTGCAATACATGGTATTGTACAGTGGTCAGCAATGCAGAGTTACAAATGTGAGTGAAAATGTGAGAGGAGAGTCAAATGTTTGTTTAAAGTGTATGCATTACATGCATACACTTTAAACTTTAAACATATATATATATATATATGCATTACATATTACATTACATATATATATGCATTACATGCATATATATATATATATATATATATATATATATATATATATATGTATTTGTGTATGTATTGAATCTGTATAATATGTCTTTAACTTTTTGAATCATATTACTGAAATAAAAAGTTTCTGATGGTGCTAATCCACTGAGGTGAGCCTGTAGAACCCAGACAGCATAAAGCCAAGTTTATTTTCCTCTCAGCTCAAACATGGCTGTGTTTTATCTGCAGGGAAAGGTGCTGGATATAGACAAGACTGAGGAGTGGGATTGATGCCATGAATGTGTGTTTATCATGAACCATGGCTCAAATGGATGATGTCATCTAAAATGGTCCGAGGAGCTGACCAGCAGAGTTTAATCTGACCAGTCACATTACATAGACGTGGTCTCTTTGGTTCCTTCTGCACCAGAGTGCTTCCAGTTGTTGTTTTACATTTAACCACTCAACCAGGGACCAGCTTATTGTCACTGCTGCTACTGGCCTTTGTTTTCAAGGACCTGCTATCCTTGAAACTAAAACTAAGTAGCTAAATCCATTTTGTTGTGGAAAAACAAAGAACAAAAACCAAATCGACTGCTTGTATTTTACCTCTTGGATTATGAAGTTCCACAGTGAGACTTGAACTACTGGAGAAGCTACTTTACTAAGTTATATTTTAAACTGACAAAGCTTGTGGAAAATATGCTAAAGATTATGGGGTGCCATTTCTAAAGTTACACACAAAATTTAACACATTGATTCATTTTGAAAGTCATATTTTCACAATTTCAACATTCGTTTATAAATGTCAGAGTTTCAAGCTAAATATTTAATTAGCAAGCTAAATATTTAGTTCAAAGCTAAACATTTAGTTAGTTATTTAAATATTTAGCATAGAGCTAAATATTCAGTTTGAAAAAATATTTGAAATATTTAGTTTGAAGCTAAATATTTAACTCAGAGATAAATATTTAGCCAATACACAAATTCACTTGCCGATAACTGAAAAGTGGACTACCAAAATAAAAGCGGGGTCTTGCAGACCTTGTATAAACTAATGCTGGTGAGACTGATTCATCTCGTCTTCATCATTGATTGCAGTGACGAGTCAGCTTTGAAGGATTCAGTCTCACCAGCAGGAGTTTTATACAAGGTCTGAACACCCAGCTTTTATTTTGGTAGTCTACTTCCAGTTCTCCACATGTGTATTTTTATATTAGCTAATTAACTATTTTGTTAACTAACTTAAATATTTTGTTTGAAACTCTTACATTTATAAATTAATAGTGAAGTATTAAAAATATTAATTAAAAAATCAGTCCCCATTTTTTCCCCCCTATGGCAGGTTACATAAGCCAAATTATTCATTTTTATTTGTGTAGCTTTACAAATGGCACCACATGCAAGATGCTCACTTTAATCTGTGCAAAAAAAGGACCGGTATGAGATTCTCACGGTATGATAGAAAAAATACCAGTTTCATTGTATTTCAGTATTTAAACACAAATTTGATGAAGAACAAAATTGATCAAATGATCTGTCTTTTTTCTTTAACAGAAAAGTAACATGTATTTCTTGTACTGCTAACAAGCATACCCTATTCCAGTTGCACTAATGTAAGTTATAACATTGATCAGTTGTTGATCAGCATGTCAGGTCAAGCAGAAAAAAAATAGAATCCAATGAATTTAGTTGTAGATTTCAAGCGATTATTGTGCAGAAAATTTTTCCTCTTAGCTGTTTAGCTTTTTATAGAGGAACACAAACATAAGTGAGCAGTCATTCAGGCCTGAAGGGGTGGAAGGGTAACTTTTCTCTCAAAACAGCTGAAGAAAAAACTGCAGCAGCAGTAAAGTACTCTAGAGGGGAAAGTTTAGTGGTTTTGAAACAGTAAGTTTTAACACACTGTAACCGTGGAACTGGCTCAGGACTCTGCAGCTGTCTCTTCACCAGCCAGAGCTGATCATGCTAAACATGCTCTGATTGAGGAGCATGTCAACATTCTAGAGAGTGCAATAATTCCAAAGCCTTTTTCTGCCATTGGTTGCATCGATGCATTTAAAAATGAAAATGATGTGATTCAGATCAACCCCACCTCTGAATATAAACAGCTTATCCAGAAATGGCTTTGGAAAAAAGTTGAAAACATGAAATGTTTGGGAAAATTCAGTGATTGCTGATATTTACTTACCTAAGTGCAACTCACTGATGGTCAGCTCATAAGTCTGACCTGATATTATTTTTAAAGACGTAAAAATCAGTTAACATTTACAGTATGGGTTAAAATACAGCCACAGACTCCTCATTGTGGGTGAGCAGATGAGTTAAATAGCTTCTCTTATACAGTACATATGTTTATTCTAAGCAATGTTATTAATCTTGTGATGTTCATACTCCAAGTGTCAGTACTGTAATATGATCACTACTTTATTATCAAAATATTTTTGCGTTTTTTTTAAATAATAAAAAATAAAACTAAAAATTTCTTAATGCAAAAATATTCAGGGTTATTGGATCAGGAATTTGTGGAACATGTTTACTGTAAAGACCTTTTTATAATAAATCTGTTCATTAAGAGTTCTTTTAGTCATAATCGAAGGGGAAATGTCTTTTACTTCCAAATGTAATCATATTGATAGATGAAACAAAAAGTAAATTATACTTGTCTATGCTTTACTACATTTTGTTTACATTATGTTTAATAATAATGTATGGTAAATAATGTGAATAAGTGTTTATTTTCCTGTAGTGTTTGCTACGCTCAGCACTGAGCCTGCTGTGTTCTGGTTAACCAGCAGCAGGAGGCCTCAGCGCCTCTCAGCCGTCCGTAACACAACCTACATTCTGTAATGCATTAAATGAAGAAGGGAAACTGTGATGTTTGTTGAATTATCATTGTTTTTTATTGCAGTTTACCTTAGTCATATTAGGCATAGTAGAAAATGTTTTATGTATTTATTTATTGCCAGTGAAACTGCTGATGTGGAGGATCGTGTACTGTAGATAATGTCCAACCTCTGTAACTGACTAAATGCTGATATGTCTTTTATTAAACTCTAAAGATTATATTGATGACTTGACTCTTGTGCTTAGTTTTTCTGTATGTTTTGGATATGTTAAATTCAACCTCTAGAAAATGTCTAACAGGAGTATTTATTCACAGCTTTAGTTTGTAAAATGTTTTAGATTCTCAGATGTCCCTGTTTGTTGTTTGGTTCAGGCAGAGACCTGGTGACCTAAAGAGAACAGTAGATCTAAATAGATGAATCTACAAACAATCATTGTACATATCACCATCTAGTGGAAGTGATTGGGAACTTCAGTGGAATCAGCTGATACTGACAGTCAGAAGCTTCAGAGCAGCAAACCGTCTGTAAGCTTCATGGAATGGATTTCTTTGGCAGAGCAGCTGCACCCACATCACCAAATGAGTCTGATGCAGTGGTGTAAAGCAGTGTTTTTCAAAGTGGGGGCCACGGCCGCAAGGGGGCGCTAGTGGAGCCTGAGAATGTTGGTGGGAACATGAGGAAAAAAGGAATCCAAATGTAATCTGTTTTTAAATCATTGTTATAAAATTTAAGTTAAAATAACTTCTTCAGTCTTTATTTAACCTGGATAAAACTCCTCAAAGTCAAAGATCTCTTTTACAAGAGTGCCCTGACAACTTATTGATGATGGAGATCAAGATAGTGTTGCCCTGCGACAGACTGGCGACCTGTCCAGGGTGACCCCGCCTCTTGCCCGGAACGTTAGCTGGAGATAGGCACCAGCACCTCCTGACCCCACTAAGGGACAAGGGTGTAAAGAAAATAGATGGATGGATGGATGGAGATCAAGATAGAAATAGCCCTTATTGTCCCACGGAGGGGAAATTCAGAAAAACAATGTTTACCATGGCCGCCTTTCTGATTGGCTGCCAGCCAAATGTATCACGTTGCTTTGCTCCTCAAGCTAGAAATGGAAAAATAGAAAAACACCAGAGGAACCGTCCAGCAGCCCTGCTGCAAAAAAACTAAACTGTGGAGAGGAAATAAAATTTCATGGGATTAATTTAAAAATCTGTAATTTTCTTATCAAAAGAGAGGCTTATGGTGGAAAATCTTATCTGGTAATATATTCAATATATCTTAATAAAGTCATAATATATTACCTGCTAACATTTTACAGGTAATATGTTATGACTTATTACCACTTCTAGGTCTACCTCGCTTGTCTTGGGTTGAACATCTTTTTGCCTTCAGAACTGTTGCAGTTGGTATTGATTCTCCTGTTTCCTGGTGGCAGGAGAGGCAGAGAAATGAGGATGTGAGAAAATGATGAACTGTTTCTGAAACTGGTCAAAATGTTTCTTTGGTATCAACAGTTCAAAGTCACTGGAACAGCTTTTCTTCCTCATTTTTTTTGCTAAGTTTATTCTTCCGCAAGTCATCTTTGCCACATGGAGTTGTTGCTATGTGATTTGTTGCTTGAGTTCTGTGAATAGGTGTACCTAATAAAGTAGCAAGGGAGTGTAGAAAGACTTGATTTTTAATAATGGACAGAAACAGTTGTATAGGTTTTACTTTATGATGATGATATAACAGCTTTTACTCCATTCATAATAATTGTTTCCAGGTTCTTTGACTTTTTATACTCAAACATCAAGAAATAAATCATACAGAAACAATTTCTACAACAAAAAAGTAATTTCTATAAAAAACATTCCCTTGTCCGTCAATTTAAACATCTGAAGACAAATTCTTCTTATACATTATGTCATTCAGACAGACTGATTCTAGTTGCACAACATAAGAAACCAAATGTTCACAAGTTGCTCAGACTGATTTGCTTTTAATTAACAAACTCAGTATCACTTCATTGAAATGAAAAGGTCATTTTGTGCTAAATAATCTTAATCTTGTTTTATTAGTCAGGAATATACTGTAACTTCTGGAGTCTGGCCGATACAATGTGAACAGATACAAAACTTACAATCATCCTATTTCAGTTTGAACCTTACACAAACAGCTTGTAGTGTGAGATTGAGTGTTGCTCAACCTGTAAAGAATCAGATCACACTGCACAATGATATTGTAGTTCAGCTATTTGTGATGAATTAAACATTAACCAGTCTATACCTAAATACTCATGAGATAACTTTATTTTTGCCTGTTTTTGATTCTAACTGGAGAGTTGAACTGTTGCTCAAATGGAAGACTGCAGTGGGGTTTTTCTGTCACATTTCCACAGATAAAATCAACACTTAGACAACTCCTTCTGTTCAGTAATGCAGTTCTTAAGTACAGCACAGGATCAGGAGGATGAGCCAGCTGAGGCTGCACCAAACACCACAGAATCAGCAGAAGATTTAAAAGGAAGTGGGTTTTCCCTCCAGCTGCTCTATGAATCTGCATTATACAAACTGGATGATGAACTACACCAGCATAAAGCTGCATCCACAGTGCCATAATGTCAGAAACTTAATTTAGTGGAATTTACACACAGGAAAAAGAATGTAAAACGGCAATCAAAGGTAACTATTAGGCAGCATTTTGAAAATGATAATGTATACAATTAATCATGATAACTAATTAAATTCTTATATTGTTTTATTTGCTGG